ACGCTAAAGATGACATATCAGGAACTGCAAGAAGAGCCAACAGTGGAACAACTGCACCATACTTGATAACCATGTTTCAGAAAACTGAACCATCACCTGCGATGTTTCCCAGAGCCCATATGGCTTGTTCAGTGATGTGAGCATGAAGAGATGCCAACAGAGAAATGAATGCTGGGATAGCACCTCCATCTACTACAGCCTTGGTCTATTCTGATATCCCAGAAGCAATGTTAGTGAAGGCCCAGGCAGATTCAAACTGAATGGGACTACAATCAGTTCTGCCCAAGAAGGATACAAATTTTGGAATTAAACCAGCCTAGATTATGTTGTCTATGCCTGGCTGTTTTCCCATAGAAAGCAATTTCCTTGAAGCCTGAGTAGCTTGGAGATGGCTTTCCAAATTGTTGCTATTTATGCCTTTGACAATGTCCTCAACAGACCAATTTATAGTGCCCTGGTTGCTGTAGGTTTTCCTGCAGCAGAGAAGTAACATTATCAGAAAAGGAGCTTACATTTCTCCTTTTCAGCATCTGTTCATCCTTAGCTTTTCTCAGCTCCACATTAACTTCTATTTGGTGATGCCTCATTTCTGTTCTGTCTTTCCCCTTGTTCTTAAACTTTTAAGGCAGGCAGCTGGTGAGTTAGCATTCTCACTGACAGATGTGGTTATGAGACAAAGGGCGATAGCTGCACAGCTGGCTTAGTTTTTTTGCAGGAGATGGTGCGAGGTGGACAGGCTGCAGTTTGGTTGCTCTGAAAATGCCCAATACTGAGCAGCACGAAGACTGTGTCTAAATTTCTGATAGAGTAAGTACATATCAATGTTATCCTTACACAAAAGTCCTGTTTTCTTAAAAAATATATTTTATTGATTATGCTATTACAGTTGTCCCATTTCCCCCCTTCATTCCCCTCCACCCTGCACACCCTTTCCCACCCACATTCCCCCTCTTTAGTTCATGTCCATGTGTCATAAATTCTACATTTCCCACACTACTCTTGCCCTCCCCCTGTCTATTTTCTCCCCACTGTCTATGCTACTTATTCTCTGTACCTTTTCCCCCTCTCTCCTCCTCCCACTCCCCTGTTACTAACCCTCCATGTGATCTCCATTTCTGTGGTTCTGTTCCTGTTCCAGTTATTTGCTTAGTTTGCTTTTGTTTTAGGTGTGGTTGTTAATAACTGTGAGTTTGCTGTCTTTTTACTGTTCATATTTTTTGTCTTCCTTTTCTTAGATAAGTTCCTTTAACATTTCATATAATAAGGGCTTGGTGATGATGAACTCCTTGAACTTGACGTTACCTGAGAAGCACTTTATCTGCCCTTCCATTCTAAATGAAAGCTTTGATGGATAGAGCAATCTTGGATGTAGGTCCTTGTCTTTCATGACTTGGAATACTTCTTCCCAGCCTCTTCTTGCCTGCAAGGTCTCTTTTGAGAAATCAGCTGACAGTCTGATGGGAACTCCTTTGTAGGTGACTATCCCCTTATCTCTTGCTGCTTCTAGAATCCTCTCCTTCATTTTAATCTTGGTTAATGTAATTATGATGTTCCTCTTTGGTATACACCTCTTGGTGTGTTCCTCCTTGGGTCCACCTTCTTTGGGACTCTCTGAGCTTCCTGGACTTCCTAGAAGTCTATTTCCTATGCCAGATTGGTGAAGTTTTCCTCTATTATTGGTTCAAATAAGTTTTAAACTTGTTGCTCTTCCTCTTCCCCTTCTGGTACCCCAATAATTTGGATGTTGAAATGTTTAAAGATGTCCTGGAGGTTCCTAAGCCTCTCTTCATTTCTTTTGAAATTCTTCTTTCTTCCTTCTTTTCTGTTTGGTTGTTTCTTTCTTCCTTCTGGTCCACTCCATTGATTTGAGTCCCAGTTTTCTTCCCATTGCTATTGGTTCCCTGTGCATTTTCCTTCATTTCACTTAGCGTAGCCTTCATTTTTTCATCTAATTTGTGACCCAAATCAACCAATTCTGTGAGCATCCTATCCTGATTACCAGTGCTTTGAACTGTGCATCTGATAGGTTGACTATCTCTTGGTCACTTAGATGTATTGGCTCTGGGGCTTTGATATGTTCTTTTGTTTGAGCCATTTTTTTTTTTTGGTCTAGTCGCGCCTGTTATATAGTGAGGGGCAGAGCCTTAGGTGTTCACCAGGGTGGGGCAACCCAGATGCTGAGTTGTGGTGGTGTATGTGGGGGTGGAGTCAGAGAGAGAACAATGGCACTTGGTTCATTCTCTCTTGGATTTCAGTTCCTTCTGCTGCTTCCCACAATTAAATTGGGCCCTTCTGGTGCTGGTTCCCAGGTGGGTGGGCTTGTGTATGTTCTAGGACCCTGCGGGTCTCTCCAACAAACTCTCCTGTGAAACCGGGAGTCTCTCTGGGCACCTCAATCTTCACAGGTGTTTTCAATCGGTGTTTTGAGACGTTGGTTTGCGTGGTCTGTCTTGCTGCTCATTTTTGTCTGGTTTATCTGTGCACAGATGTGGGACCGTGGTCAGCTAGATGCCTTGTGCACCTCACTGGGTCTGCTCATTGCCACCCCAAGCCTGGGGTCTGCCAACCGCTGCCTGCACGCCCTGGTCACCAGCCACTGCTTTTTCCTGCCACTACCCCTCTTACTGGTCTGGATGACCTCTTATTGGACTTCCATACAGTTCAATTTTCTGTCAGTTCTGGTTGTTTTTTTGTTTCTAAATTTTTGTTGTTCTTAATTTTGGTTGTGCGAGGAGGCACAGTGTGTCTACCTATGCCTCCATCTTGGCCGGAAGTCCCTGTTTGTTTTTTTTAAAGATTTTATTTATTTTTAGAGAGAGGGCAAGGGAAGGAGGAGATGGAGAGAAACATCAGTGTGTGGTTGCCCCTCATGTGCGCCCTACTGGGACCTGGCTGGCAACCCAGGTGTGTGCCCTGACTGGGAATTGAACTCACAATCCTTTGGTTCACAGTCCGGGGCTCAGTTGATTGAGCCACATCAGCCAGGGCAGAGTCCTGGGTTCTTATTTCTGAGAACAGATCTTGGAGCTGCTGATGTGGCCTTGAGAGTATTTTAGGCCCTGAACAAATGGACCTTCTGAGTCTCAGGTGACCTTTAATGTCTCTTGACTCTAGACAGTGGCAGGTGGCTCCCTGCCATGCAGGTTTCCAGGCACCTGCCTTAAGAGTGGGCATTGGTGAGGGTGGAGGGAGGGGCACCACCAGAGATCAGTGGTCCACAGGGTGGGGCTCCAGGTGGTAAAGACAGGGGATACCTCCTTCTCTGCTTCACCCAGGGTTTGGCTGCTTTTCTGTTCAGGTGTAAGAGACAGAGCACAGGGCCAGATTAAAATACTGCTTATATAATCTTACTAACCCATGTCATCCCAATTAACTCAATAAAAAAATTCTGCTGGTGGTGGGCGTCAGCCAGGGTATAGTGTTCCAGAGACCCTCACCTCCAGAGAGAGAACCAGACCCAGCAGAGAGGGATCACAGGTGCCCACAATCCCTGGAGCCTTGGACCCACCTTCCTAATGAAATGGAGCTGGCACAGCAGCCCCAGCAGGGAGCAGTACTGCCAGGCTGAGCAGCAGTGGTGCCAGGAGCCCAGTTCCTCTGCCTCTGAACACACCAAGTCCCCCAGCAAAGGGAAGTTGGCCCCAGACTTCAAGAAGTCAGGTTTAGGCCCTGGCTGGTGTAGCTCAGTGGATTGAGCTCGGGCCTGTGAACCAGATAATCGAGGTTCGATTCCCAGTCAGGGCACATGCCTGGGTTGCAGGTCGGTTCCCTGCAGGCCAGCAGGGAATGCACAAAGGGCAACCATACATTGATGTTTCTCTCCCTTTCTCCTTCCCTTCCCCTCTAAAGATAAATAAATAAATTAAACAAAAAAAGAAGTCAGGTTTAGGGACTGACTGCTCTTGCAACCAAATGACTTTTTTTCTCCCTAAATTCAAAATAATAACTGTTTATAATACTCCCACTTCTGTTAGTCACCCATTTCTCCCCCACATCTCCAAACAACTATATTAATATTCATCCAGACAGACATTGTCTTTCCCCAGTATCCCGTCCTCCACCAGCCTCTAGGAATGCCCAAGCTTCAAGACACCCTCAGTTCTCCAGGGCTGTTTGCACTACTCTCTCCTCTGAGCTTTTCCTCTTCTCTTCACCTGCGGGCAGGGGTGCAGAGCTGATTGCCGCTACCACCACGACCAGCAGAGGGCAGCAGCCGAAGGGGGATTCCTTGCCCCTAGGGAAGCACCTAGGAGAGCCTAGTAGTCTGTCACGGGCGGGGGAGGGAGGGAGGCAAGCACCTCAGCCTGGTTTGCTCAGAGGTCTGGGGGAGGAGAAAGTTCGGTGGCGCGCTGAGACCCGACCTCCAGAAGCGGCTAGTGGGGAAAGGGGAAGTGAGTGTGGGCAGGAAAGTTGTGACAGCAGTGCCAGCCCACTTCCATTTTTTTCTTTCATTTTTCTTTTGGTTTGAGAATCCCAGTGCATTTATAAAAGCAGAAGAAATGAGAAGCAGGATTGCAAAAGTGTGGTGTATTTTAAATGTTTACCTTGAATAAACCTCCATTTACAGAAAACTCAAGGTCCAGTGCAATAAACTTAGTTCTATGTCAAAAGAAAAAAAAAAAAGTAATGGGAACATCTGACCCAGCGCAAGGTTTGAATGCTTTTAAAAATTGATTTATTTAATCCCATTGATCTCACTTGGAATCTAGGTGAACTGGGGTATATTGCACCATTAGGAGACTGAGCGACTGCTATTAAAGAACAATTCTGACACTTGTTAACTTGGAAAGGAGCCCTGACCAGTGCGGCTGGGCTGGGTTGGGTTGGGTTAGCTGGTTGGTTGCCCTTGGATTCCGGGTCCGGGCACTTGCCTGGGTTGCCCTGGGCCCTGCCCCGCCGATGCCTCTGCGAGAGGAAACTGGTGAATGTTTCCTTCTGGAATCGATCCTTATCTCCCTCTCTCTCTCCCTCCCTTCCCTCCCTCTAAAAATACATAAACAAACAACTTTGAAAACGAGAGGTGAAAAGAAATGCTTTCCACAGGACACCGTAACACAGGTATTGCGATGAGGGGGCCAGCCAGACACTCGCGCAGCAGCAAGAGCCTTGGCAGGAGCTCTGGGACTTGCCGGGACCCGCAGTCCAAGTGGGAGGGAAGGTGGGCTGGGGGGGGGGGGCCCAGCGTGGGCAGCAGCGAAGGCCGCCTCCGGCTCCCGTGCTTCCGCCTGCAGGGGTCGACTGTGTGCACCTTGGGGTTGCAGGGGTGAGGAATGTTAGCTCCCTTTCCCCTCAGGGGAGGTACTGTACGGCTTGGTTGAGAAAGAACATGGAGGGCGTGGTGTTCCCGGACTCACTTGCCCAGGGTGGTGCGGCCTCCTGCTGTGCTGGGTGGGAGGAAGAAGGCGCAGGTCCTGGCTCAGGGGCTGCAAGTTCTCACCATTCCTGTGGAAAGTTAGTAGAGGACCTTCAGTAACTGGCTTCATTTGCTGCCTGCCTTTAGGGCACAGGTGGCAAACCCAAGGTCCTTGGGCAAATCTAGCCCTCCACCTTGTTTTAGCCCACCCAGCACCTTGTTTCTACCCAGCAGCAGCACTTAACTGTTAAGTAGTTATACTTATACAGCCCTAAAATTACATTCAGCCCTTTGAAGGCAACGGAGAGGCTGATGTGGCCCCTGGTGAAAATGAGTTTGACACCCCTGCTCTAGGGAAATTTTCAGAAACTTTAAGTGGTTGTTATTTTGACGGTTTGTACTGGTTGTGGTCATCTGGCTTCAGTACGGGTTCCTGGGCTCCTCACACTGCTAGTGCCGAGGTGGATCCTTCTTCCACAGGAGCTTTCTGGAAGGAGTGCTGCCACCGTGGTGACTCTGCGGACGCGTGACTGCTCTGGCAGGTGCCCGGCCAACCTGCCTGTCTGTGAGGGGCTGGGAGCGCTGTGCAGCCAGGCGCCTTGGACATGGGAAATGCAACCAACTGGAATATAAGTTGGTTGTGAAAATTATGTGCAGACACTTTAAAATTTTACATTTTATTATCTACACTATTACAGTTATCCCCACTTTCCCTCCTCTTTGTCCCCCTCTACCCTGCCCCCTCCAGGAGACCCCCACACTCTTGTTCCAGTCCATGGTCACACATGTACGATCTTTGACTACTCCTTCCACCCAGTCCCTCCTCTCCCTCCCTGGGAGGGAGCTGTCAGACAGACAGCTGTCAGTCTGTTCCAGGTGTCCACGCCTGTTTCTACCTTGTTCATCAGTTTACTTTGTCCTTTAGATTCTATGTATAGGCAAGGTAATTTTAAAAGTTAATTTCAAAATGTGAAAACAAATGCAGTGCCCCTCAACATCATTTTAGAATATCTTCTTTCTTTATGTGCTTGGATTAAGTTAGTTTATACTCTAGCAAGATTTTTTCCTTGTAAAGCAGTCATGGGCTTAGTATGCATGTATGTATGTACTTATTTTAAGAGAGAGGAAAAGGGAGGGAGAAAGAGAGGGAGAGAAATGTTGATGTCAGAGAGAAACATTGACTGGTCTCCTCCCACATGCGCCCTGACTGGGGACCGAACCTGCAACCCAGAAATGTGCTGTGACCAGGAACAGAACCTGCCACCCTTGGTTTGGGGGATGATATCCAACCCCCTGAGGCATATCGGTCAGGGCATCTTAGTGTTTTTAAGATTCTTTTTTTAAAATTAAAATTAAAATATTATTTTTTTAATTGTTGTTCAAGTACAGCTGTCTCCATTTTCCTGCCACTATCTTCCCCCCCCCCCCCCCCCCAGTCCTACCCTCTTTGGCTTTGTCCATGGGTTCTTTCTACTTGTTCCTTGATGACCCTTCCCCTTCTTTTCCCCATTATCACCCTCCCTCCTCCCCTCTGGTGACTACTGTTAATTTGTTCTTCATTTCAATGTCTGTGGTTGTATCTGTTCATTTTTTCTGGACTATCTGCTGGAACGAATGTGGACGTGTACACAGTTCCTAAGCCACACTGTGTTTTAAGGTTTCAGGGAAAAGCGTGGGCGGCTTGAGGGATCTTCTTTCTAAACGTCGTCTCTGTCGTCGTCTCTGTTTACTTTTGCCCATAGGGTTGTTTCCTCACCTTTGAAAGATGGGCCCAAGGGCTGTGCCCCTGAGTCAGTTATTTCCAAACCACTTTGTGCCTTCTTAGTAGGTAGATTCTGTCATTCCTGTATTTTAGGAAAGTTTTCTTTTCTTTCTTTTTTTTTTTTGTTACAGCATTTGCTCTTGTCTTTGGGGACAAAGATTGCATGAGTTGGCTCTTTGCCTTATGCAGCCTTTCTTTCCCTTTAAAGTCCTCTTAAACATTTGTCCCTGCCTCTCGATTTTGCTCTGTGTTTTGAGCACCCTCTCCACCACATGGAATGATCTAGCAGATCGGGGGTTTCTTTTACTTTTTTAACAAAGATTTTATTTATTTTATATTTTTAGAGAGAGGGGAAGGGAGAGAGAGAAACATTGATGTGAGAGAGAAACATTGATTGGCTGCTTCTGTATGCATCCTGACTGGGGACTGAACCCTACGACCCTGGCCTGTACCCTGCCGGGGAATCGAACTGGCAACCATTTATTTTATGGGATGATGCCCAACCAACTGAGCCACACTAGTCAGGACTTTTGTTTGTTTGTTTTGCTGCCCTACCTTAATTTCTGTAAGGTTCTCCATTTTCAGTTGATTGTAGCTTATCAGCCCCTCATTTCAGCTCCTTTTCTTCCCGTGACCCTTACTGTCCAGCCCTCGATGTCTCTTCTTCAGTTTCTTCTTTGACAGATACCACATTCTGTAAATTATTTGATTTCATGGGAAGCCAGTGGTTCTTAATTGTATTTTCTATGGCTGCCGTAACAAATTGCCACAAATGTATTGGCTTAAAAAAACAAAAATTATCTTGTAGTTCTGCAGTTCTGAAGTCCCAGAGAGCCTCACTGGGCTGACCTCAGGGTGTTGCAGGCTCTTCCTTCCTGAGTCTCCAGCAGCACCCAGCTGCTCTCCTTCCCTGGAGGCCCTTCCCTAAGTCCCTGTCAGTGGAACCCCCTGAATCCTTTCACCCCCTCCTCCACTGCTGAGGTCCTTGTGTGCCACCTGGATAAACCAGGACACTCTCTGTGATTTAAGACCCACTGAGTAAATCTACCCCACCTGCTGCCTCAATGCCTCTTTGTCATGTAATGTGGCATGTTCATGGTCTGAAGACTGGCTGCCATGCCAATTTCCACCTGCTTTGCGGCAGTGCTCTTCATTATCTGTGTTGGCCAGATGCCTTTCCTCCTGCCCTATCTTTGCATAGTTTTCACGATTGTTCCTTTAAAAATATCCATGACTCTTCTTTGAAATAATGGAGCTTTCCCTGGACTAACTCATTTTGGAAGAGTAGCTGGGGAAGCCTAGTACATCCCTAGGGTTCTGTGGACCCTCAGGGGGCCTGTTCAGGGGTCGGGGGAGGGTCTGTGAACTTGGGTGGGAAAAATTTAATCTTGATTTTTTCTCTAATGAATGCAGACAACACAGCCCAGTAGTGACTGTTGATTCTATTCATTTGTCACTGGTAGAAATTAGAGATATTTTCTTTTTTTAAGGTTTTATTTCTCTATTTCTAGAGAGAGGGGAAGGGAGGGAGAATGAGTGGGAGAGAAACATCAGTGTGTGGTTGCCTCTCGTGTGCTCCCAACTGGGGACCTCACCTCCAACCCAGGCATGTGCCCTGACTGGGAATTGAACTAGCAATTCTCTGGCTTGCAGGCCAGTGCTCAATCCATTGATCCACACCAGCCAGGACTAGAGATATTTTCTTTCTTTCTTTTTTTTTTTTTGTGTGTGAATGGTGCAGTTTTATTTTATTTTTTTTCTTTTTTTTTAAATTGATTATGCTGTTACAGTTGTTCTATTCCCCCCTTCATTCCCCTCCCCCCTGCCCCCCATCCCCACCATTACCCCCCTTTAGTTTATGTCCATGTGTCTCAAGTCCTTTAGGTTCTATATTTCCCATGCTATTCTTGCCCCCCCCCCCCCCCCATCTATTTTCTATCTACTATCTATGCTACTTATTTTCTGTACCTTCTCCCCCCATCTCCTCCTCCCACTCCCCTGTTGCTAACCCTCCTTGAGATCTTCATTTCTATGTTTCCACTCCTGATCTAGCTGTCCTTTTAGTTTGCTTTTGTTTTAGGTGTAGTTAATAACTGTGAGTTTGTTGTCCTTTCACTGTTCATGTTTCTTTAACTTCTTTTTCTTAGATAAGTCCCTTTAACATTTCATATAATAAGGGCTTGGTGATGATGAACTCCTTGAATTTGATCTTATCTGAGAAGCACTTTATCTGTCCTTCCATTCTAAATGAAAGTTTTGCTGGATAGAGCAATCTTGGTTGTAGGTCTTTGGATTTCATGACTTGGAATATTTCTTTCCAGCCCCTTCTTGCCTGTAAGGTCTCTTTTGAGAAATCAGCTGACAGTCTGATGGGGACTCCTTTGTAGGTGATTGTCCCCTTAGCTCTTGCTGCTTCTAGGATTCTCTCCATTTTAATTTTGGCTAATGTAATTATGATGTGCCTTGGTGTGTTTCTTCTTGAGTCCAACTTTTTTGGTACTCTCTGAGCTTCTTGGATTTCTTGGAAGTCTATTTCCTTTGCCAGATTGGGGAAATTTTCTTTTATTATTTGTTCAAATAAGTTTTCCACTGGTGGCTGTGCCTTTTCCCCTTCTGGTACCCCTATAATTCGGATATTGGAGCGTTTAAAGATGTCCTGGAGGTTCCTAAGACTCTCCTCATTTCTTTGAATTCTTGCTCCTTGACTCTTTTCTGTTTGGCCATTATTTGCTTTCTTCTGGTCCACTCCATTGATTTGAGTCCCAGTTTCCTTTTCATCGCTATTGGTTTCCTGTGGAATTCCATTCATTTCCATTAGTTTAGCCTTCATATGTTTCTCTAATTTGTGGCTATAATCAACCAGTTCTGTGAGGATCCTGATGACCAGTGTTTTAAACTGTGCATCTGAGAGTTTTGCTATTTCTTCGTCGCTTAGATTTATCT